CTAGTATCGAAATGAAATAAAATGTGTTTAACGAACTACTGTTCTGCCCCGACTGGGCTCATGAAGACGGACATACACCATAGAATTGGCTATGAGGAAAATTTTAAATTTTACCCCGACTGTTGCGCTACGACCTACTCTTATATCGAATTCCAGGTGACACGGGATCTTTTATGTGCACGACAATTTGTATACGGAACCTCGGGTTTCGTACTATCAAAACCACCATACGTTATCCCTTTTCATAGTCCGTCTGTCCTGATTGCCCGGTTGTACGTGAAAAGGAGTAGGGTCGCCTGTCCAACCTCGTGGGGTTTCTCCCGCCTGGTCCTCTGTTTTCCTCCAACTGCTAAAGAGCCCTACGCGCAAGCGAATTATTGAAATAAAAATGAACCATATGTTAGTCCCCAAATGACCCATTTTGTATTGAGTGGACGTTAAACTCACAAATATTGGCGATTTAGCTCCTTTAATAGTGTTTACCATCATCCAACTTTAATACCCTTTTCAAGTGTTAATTTAAATGTGCTAGAATATAATTTATATGAACTTAATTTTCAGTGGTATTCTACGTGATATCTGGAATGTCGTAGTATGACACGTATTTTGACATGTAAGAACCCCCCCCCCACACACACACACACACACAAACCATCACTTAAAGATACATTATGTAAGATTTAGATAAAGAACTAGCCATTCTTGCTATAATAGTTCGAAAGTAGATGATGTAAAATGAATAATTTGAACATTTCATTCAAATTACTCTATTGCAAGCGAAGATATTAGCCTTTGAAGGTTTGACAGACGTGTGCAATAATTTCAACCACCGTACCGGTTGATCGAAGCTAAGTCTCGGTCCTCCATATTTGATTAAATCAATGTATTGCTGAACCATTCTAATCTATTTAATACCGGAGAAATCTGATGCCATCGAGAGTTGATTAAGGCCTGGATCAGTTAATTAATGTCTAATTAATACTTTAGAAAACATTTCAGGCCTAAAGAAAGACCTGCAATAGGCAGATGTAGCTCTTGCATAATGCATGTTTAATAGATAAGATAAGATAAGATTTTATTGTATCATTGCATCCACCATAGACGATCATTTCTATAATACAATGTCATATAATGATTTTAGAAGCATCAAAAGTTGGTCGGTATAATGAAAATCAGTATAGAGCTAAAATGAAAATTATCTAAACTAGCCTGGAAAGTAAACAACTTCTTTCTAAAGTAAGTATTAGTATTTTAAATATATATATTATATTGAACAGGCGTGTTGGTTAACAGGTAACTCTGGTGCTCTTTCTTGGAGACACTTATGAAGCAACCTGACTAGCCATTTCGTTAGGGGGAGTTAGAACATTAATACTATTGCATGAGATGTGCGGATTGCTTTTGGAAATTGGCGTAAATTTGGAATTTATAAGATTGTTATATTTATTACAGTCAAATATGAAATGGTATTCATTTTCTATTTGATTATTATTACGTTGTTTACATAAACGTGCATGTGGCAGAATATGACACATCAAGGAAGGGTTGATGAAAACTGCCGCTTGCTGGTTTATCTATCCATGTTTGCTTTCCTATCGGTTCTTGCATAAGATTTACTGTTTAGCATATCTTTGCTTTAGTGTGTTTCGTTTAATTTGATCGGGAGACGTGTTCGTCGCCGTTAACGTCAACCGACAACACTGCAAGAATTGGCTGTGGCACTGCAAGAGGAGTGGGTCAGATTGCCACAAATCGTGATTTGACGGTTGATTAGGAGCATTGCTGAATGTCTGAGAATTGGTGGGGCAATTACTCATTATTAAGACAAAAATCAAAAACGTCCATTTTCACTTTTGACAGTGTATCTCTTTGCGAGTGAAATGGGGCCGACAGATAAGTCGCCCGTATGAACTGTTTATGTTCATGTGTAGGCAATTGGCCTGTTATTAACATACACTGGTTACCTCTAATAAAAACAGCAGTGCATTTCCGCAGTTTTGTATTGTTTCTGAATATCCCCTACTTTTTGTGAAAAGTATATGTCCAGAGATGTATGAATGCTACAATAAGCTAGACATCCCATGTTACTGGCACGCTTAGACATATTTAGAATGTATTTGCAATTGCTGATCGTACTTCTTTTTTCTTCCAATTTATCCCATCTGTCAATATTAATTTTGTTTTTGTTTTTGATAGCGTATGAACCCCAAATCTCTGCCCCATAAAGGGCTATCTGCTAAACAATAGAATGATAAAGTTTTATCATTACTGTAGAGGACAGGGATTCAGTACAGCATAGTTTCTGTCTTGTCGCATATCACGTTCGTTCGGCTTTTTTCATTTGGTCACATAATGCTGTTTTAAAGCTAGAATTATTAGTAATCGTTAATCCAAGATAATTGTACATTTCGGTGTTTTGGAGTTCAAATTCTTCAAAATAAAATTTATATACACACTTTTGCTTTTTACTTGTTTTAGAATTAAGGACAAATTATAAATTATTAATTGATTCTGTATATCGGCCCCATAAGAGGACAATAAAACTAAATCATCCGCAAACACAAGATGGAATAACGGTTTACCATTAAGCAGCGGGGTGTTAGCTGATTTTTGAAAAACATGGGGTTTAATGTCCCACTGTTCTGCTCCGAACTGGTGTAATGGAGACTGGCATACGCCATACAGTGTGCTATGAGGGAAATTTTGCCGGGACAGCAGCACTACGGCCAACTCTTATATTGAATTCCAAATGTCGAGGGATCTTTTACGTGCACGCCAATGTGTACACGGGACCTCGGTTTTTTTTATACCATCCAAACGGCTAGACAGCTCTCCTAATCAGACCCTCCGTCCTTCATCACTAACAAGGGGGAACTACGCCGTAAAATCTGGATGAACTTTCTAGGCCAAGGCAGGGATCGAACACCCGACCTCCAGACTACCTGATTTTTTAAGGTAGTTTTGTAGATCGTTAACATATATATTAAACAGGGTTTGACTCATGTTAGAATCCTGCTTGACACCAAACGTTGAAGAAATTGCCTTGGATAATTTATCATTAGATTTTACCTTATAAGTTGTTTTATGATACATCGAGGGGCACGGTGGCTAATTGGGCAAGACGCTGGGTCGTTAGCCTGGAGGTCGGGTGTTCGATCCCTGCACTGGCTGAGAAAGTTCACCCAATTTTTCCGTCGTGATTCCCCCTTGGCAGGACGGAGGGCCTGACAAGGATAGCTGTCTAGTCATTCGGATGACATGAAAAACCGAGGTCCCGTGCACACATTGGCATTCACGTAAAAGATCCCTTGTCAGCTGGAATTCGATATAAGCGTAGACCGTAGTGCCGCTGTCTAGGCAAAAAAAAAAAAGAAATTTCCCTCATAGCACACTGTATGGCATAGCCCAGTTCGGAGCAAAACAGTAGGACGTTAAACCCCATTTCATTTCATTTCATGATACATCGATTGTATAATATTATATACTTTACCGTATATATTAAGTTTAACTAATTTGTAGAGAAGTCCAGCTTGCCATACTGAATCAAATGCTTTTTTGAAATCGACAAAACATAGGTACAAATTTTTCTTTTCGTATAATATTCGGTTAATAATGGTCCAGGGCATGCTTCCGCCTGAGAGATTTTTGAATCTAGAGTCACTGAAAGGCCATTTCCTGGGCTTTATGGATGATTTTGCAGAATTCTGATGGTCAGAAAACATGAGGAAAATTGAGTACTACGCATGGGATTTATTAAGAAGTTTGCAAGAATGTACAAAGTACTACGAATCTATGACAACTTATGAAAGTAATAATGTTACATCATGAACATAGACCTATATCTTCCATATAATGTTGTGGTGAATATACGTAAATTATCAATAATATGACTATGTCCTCATATTTTCATCAAGCATCCGAGTTAAGTCAAGTTTTACCACCGATCGGCGATGTTGCCAAGCCCGATCGTGTCCGTCACGTCACACAAGAGTCATTAGTTCATTGAGATGTTCTTGTTTCATTACTGAATGCAAAACAGTTTTTACTAATCTGAGCTTTGAAAAAATGGCTCGAACTGTGATATCCAATCAAAGCAATCACACGTATACACAGATATTTTTATTATTTGGGATTTTCCCCCTACTATTTTGCTATTGTTAGTTTACCTCATTAATTCATTTAGTCGGGTTCATTCTCATGCGGTTCGAAAAATAATCCATGGTTTATTTTGCAATATATTTCTACTTTATTAAATGATGTTTCATCAATCAAAGGGTTTCAATATATATACCCATTCCCTAGGAAAATGTTGTTTCATAACTTTTGTCATCAAAATTTGACATTAGAATAGCGCCCGAAAATGATGTTTATCTAATGGTAGATTTACGTTAAAATAGTAGGTTCGATTTCCATCATTTTGCTGGTCAGGAAATGACCTAATTCTGACGTAAAGTTTATAGAATTTTCTGTCATTAATGTAACGTAAGTGACATAAACTTTACGTAAAATTTACGTTAGATATACGTCGGAAAACGACATAAACTTTACTTTAAATTTACGTCAGAAAATGGCGTAAAAATGATGCAAACTTTACCTTAGATTTACGTCATATCCTGACGTTAAATTGTCGTTAAAAAGATGAGCAAAATGATGGTGGAGTGACGAACCATTTTAACGTAAATTTTACGTAAATTTAACGTCATGATGTTATGTGGGTAGGTTTTCATATAATATTTAATTCCTTTAAAACTATTAGGGCTTTCAGGAAATCACTGAAAATATTTGTTGAAATCCCCGGTGGTCCCAGGGTTTACTCTAAATCACTGAAATTTTCAGTCATTTTCTGAAATCCCTCATTACGCAGATTCACTGTTATATTTATACACTATTGTTTTTAAAAAGCAAAATCTGAGACATTGTGGCATTGGTGGTCTGAAACCTAAGTTATGAAATTTCTACACTGGATAATCGAGTATTGCGAAGGGCAGGTAATGCACAGACATAAACAAAATTCTTGTTTTTTCTTGTCGAATGTTACTATTACTAGCCCATAGGGTCTAAATTGTAAATTTAATCGACGGAATAACAGTTCAATGAAGATTAGGCCGTTGTAAAACGTTTTTACTCTTTAGAAATAACTGATGAAATAATGTTCGCTTAGAGCTGACAGGTATGTTCTAATTCATGAATTCATGTATTCAATCATTCATATTGATATTCATAATTTCATATATGTAACAGTAACAGCCACAGACATTGCCTGCTAGTGACTCAGTAGTGTTAGCTAAGTAGGCCCTACTTTTATTTAAACGAAGCTGATGTGATTGTTGTTAAATATAAACCCTTCATGATTAAGTTTTCTCAAGTTATACAAATAATGTTAAATTTAGTTTTTCCAAATTGATTTTAATTTAGATCTAAATTGTATGATTAGTTTTGTTGGCAGCTTGTTGACTGACTGATCTGACTACCCTAACCCTAACCCTAACCCATAATAATGAAAAGAGGAATGAAAAAAGTAGTCAGATCAACCAACAGCGCCGTTTGGTTTTAATGAATAGAACAAAAAAATGTGAAAATTATTTTCATTGATGTCAGAAATATGTGACGTCATTGATTAGACGCGTCATACATGATACTTGTAGAAATATTTCTGAGACTCGTTAATCTCGCCTTGGCAAGATTTGGTAAGCTGACATGCGCATTGCCAGTTTTGCCCAGTGTATCCGGTTCCAGTCTGAATTTTTTTTTATCAACAGTCTTAGGGTGACAGTTTTAGTTACGCTCCTGTCACCTGTGTTACCGGAAAAGAGCTTTCCTCAAGTACCTCGCTCCGCGCGATGCTTTGGAGCTTTGCTCTATAATAATTGCCACAACGGCAATGCGGTACTGGCATACACACAGACTAATCCAGAATTTTCTGAAAGGAGAGTAGGGGAGTGGTTTCAGAAATTTTAGATCTGCATTGGGGGGGTTGGATGGCTGAATGGTTAGCGTGCGCGCACTGTATCATAAAGTCTGTCATTAAGTCAACTGGCGTGGTTTCAAATCCCCGGTTGTACGTGGCAAGGAGTAGGGTCGCCTGTCCAACCTCGTGGGTTTTCTCCGGGTCCTCCAGTTTCCTCCCACTGCTGAAGACCCCTACGCGCAAGCGAATTAATGAAATCAAATTAAACCATATGTTAGTCCCGAAATGACCTAGTTTGTGTCGAGTGGACGTTAAACCCCTTCTCTCTCTCTCTCTTTAGATCTGCATTGAAGTGTTGTTTAGTGATGTCATCGCAGACAAATGATCTATAGTAAGATTATACAGTGCAGGAGAAAGCAACGGGACTGAGAACTCAGAGAAGGCACGTCCCAATCTCACGCCAGCGCTGACTGACCGCTAGAGCTCGACACTTTATTCACAGTGCATGCGACCACCCAACCAAGGATTTACATAGTTGTAAAAATTAACCTGAATATTTTCCATCAACTAAATTACTAATCTAAAATTGTTTCATTGGCATTTAGTAATTAAACTTAGATAATAATATATATGTACAGGTCACAATTCTGTGAAATAAAATTACTGCTTATTACTGAACGACGTTTCTACTAGGCTTCTCTAGTCATTAAAGGAGCTAAATCGCTAATATTTTGGATCTAGAAATTGACACAAATGGGTCGCAACGTATATAATAATGTAATATGAATGTATATAAACCGATTTACATCCAATCGTTTCTGTTTTTACGTCAATTTCTAATCACTTATATTCGGAGAAATACTCCAGAAGTCTCAATCCAATGGCAATCTCTAGCATCTTGTCTTAATTATTGGATATCAGAAGCCGATCTTTTCCCCGTAAGATCACAACATCAATGTTGATTTAAATTGACAAATAATTCGTGTTTTCAATGTCAAAGATTTTGGATGATATTGAGTTAGAGACTTAGCTACTTTAAATTAAGCAATGATGAAATAGAAAAATATAACAATTTAAACAAAACAATATTTACATGAAGCAAAAATACTTGGTTAATATAATATAACAAGACAATATGTAAAAAACAGTTGCAACATAGCTCAAATAAGCAGTAATTGTATTCGCATTGTGACCTGTATATTACTAAGAATCTTATCTATCTAAATATTTCCAATAAAATCCTATTTTTATTTTAGGACAAAATGAATGAATGACAGCGCTCCTTCCAGACAGACGACAAAATGAGTAGGGCATCTGTTGAATTGTGGGCTAAAGCTGAACCGTTTAGTTACGGAGCTATACCAGTAGCTCCGCATCCACGATTAACTTTTACGGTAAAATGTTTTTACATGTTTGTCGTTCGTTGGGGCAATAAACTGAGGTTCTGTGTAGGCCTACACATTGGTGTGCAACCGTGCGCATAATAAAGAACCCTTGATAATGAGAATTTGATATAAGAGTAGGCTGGAGGCAAAATGTCCGTCTCCATTAGCCCAGTCGGTGCAGAACAGTAGGATGTTAAACCCCCATTTTTTATAGCCCACATTGGAAATGTGGTCGTATATATTGCCGTCGCCCCAGTCCGTACGTACGTAACGGTATTTCCGTCATCGACAGTTTCTTGTGAACACTCTACAGACTACATTTATCATCTGATTATTTTAAAATTGATATATGTTGTTTACATTAGTGAGGTGAAGAAGCCTATTGATTTTCAGTGATTTCTGATAATTACTGCCAGAGTTATGGCCCTTGATCACTTTGAAAAATCTTGTACATGTATAGTGTTCTAGAGGCTAGAAGTTAAAATCCGACTGACGTTAAATTTATACACAGTGTTCAAGGTCATGAGATGAAGAAGCCTATTGATTTTCAACGATAGCCGATATTTACTGCTAGAGTTAGGCCCTTGATCACTTTGAAATTTCTTATGGACGCTCTAGAGGCTAAAGTTAATATCCGATTGACTTTAGATTTATACACAGTGTTTAAGGTCATGAGCCAAAACCCAGTGATTTTCAATGATTTCAGATAATTACTACCAGAGTTATGGCCCTTAATCACTTTGAAAAGTCTTGTGGATGCTCTAGAGACCAAAGTTATCATCCAATTCTCTTTAGATTGATAAACAGAGTTTAAGGTCTTGAGACCAACACATGTATTGATTTTCAATGAATTTTGATAACTTGAACAACTAAATCCATGATATTAAATGTTTCATAGATTAAATGTTAGCAGGGGGCAGAACTAAAAGCCAAACAAATTCTAATCTAATCAGATTTTAGTGTATTTTAGATGTTTCATTACCGACAATAGAAAAAATATGCGACAACTCTTGTTGACTGCTGGGATGACTTAGCTGCTTTGGGCGTATGTTTCGTTGCCTGGCAACCTATCTTATTTTCATTTCAGGAGCCTAGGTAGCTAAGTGAGCAAGACATTGGCTCGATCCAGTCATTGGCCGAGAAAGTTCATCAGGATTTTCCCACATGGTTTCCCCGTGTCATTGGTGCAGAACAGAGGGCCTCACAAGGACAGCTGTCTAGTCCTTCAGATTATACGAAAAACCGAGGTCCTGTGTATACATTGGCATGCATGTAAAAGATCCCTTAGCAGTTGGAATTTGATATAAGAGTAGGCCATTGTGCCACTGTCTGGGCGAAATTCCCTCATAGCACACAGTATGGCGTATGCCCGTCTTCATAAGCCCTGTCAGTGCAGAACAGTACTTCGTTTTTCATTTTTATTTTGTGACATTCATGTCCTGCACTACTGACAAGGGGAAATTTTGCTGCAAAATCTAGAGGAATTGAACCAAGGACTTCCTGGTTAGTGAGTCAATGACCTACTCATTGAGGCACTGTGGCTCCAAACTCTTTTAAATTTCGGTATGTATTAATCAGTATTATTTATTTTTTCAGAATATCAGAAAGATTGTCATTTATGCAAGAAATAAAGGGGCAGCAGGATTTCCTAAACTAAGGTCAGAATTATAGAAATATTGCTAGTTTTTATTCTCACATGTTGGAACTTTGACAGGGCACACAGTAAACTATGTTTTTTATTTAATGCATGGAAATGAGCTGGGGTTTACCGTACATGTACTAATGTTCTGCTCCGACTGGGCTATTCAGTGTGCTATGAGGGACATTTTGCCCAGACAATGGCACTCCAGCCTACTTTTATTTAGAATTCCAATTGTCAAGGCTCGTTTACGTGCACGTCAATGTGTACAGGGGACCTGTTTTGTTTTTTAACCTTCCAAACAACTAAAGTATACGTTGTCCCTTGTCCGGCCCTCCATTTGCACCGCTGACAAGGAGGAACCATGCCGGGAAAATCTCAATGGACTTTCTTGACCTCCTGGTTAGCGAGCCAACGTCTTACTCAGTGGGCTACCGTGACTTATAAGAAGGATGCCTGGGCAGTTTTAATAAACTCTTTTCACTTCTATGTCATTAAACAATCCATTTTGCTTATCGAGCTTGAACAACGAATAAAGAGACAGAATGTGTTTCTGTTTTCTGGATTCAAATTTTGAATAACGAATAACGAGACAGAACAGGATTGAAATGAAATTATTATTCTTGCTCAGAAATTTCATATCATTATTGTCCATCTATCAAGTAAACTATTTTATTTAATTGACTCATAAGAAGGATGGGGGGTTGGATGGCTGAATGGTTAGCGTGCGTGCGCTGTATCATAAAGTCTGTCATTGAGTCAACTGGCATGGTGTCAAATCCCCGGTGGTACGTGATAAGGAGTAGGATCGCCTGTCCAACCTTGTGGGTTTTCTCCGGGTCCTCCGGTTTCCTCCCACTGCTAAAGACCCCTACGCGCAAGCGAATTATGTAAATAAAATTAAACCATATGTTAGTCCCGAAATGACCTAGTTTGTGTCGAGTGGACATTAAACCCCATTTCTCTCTCTCTCTCTCTCTCATAAGAAGGATGCCCCAGCCATAAAAAACCTAATTAATACATGGCCAATAAAAAAGTAATTCAATGTTTTCGAAATAAATAGAAAACTTTCATACATATTCAGTAGACATCAAGCTATTTGTTAAAATTATAATTGGAGATTAATAAGTATTTTCGATTTTAATTTTCATATAGCACATTCTATTGTTAATTTAAACACTATTTTATATTAATTTAAACACTATTTTATATTAATTTAAACATTTTATATTAATTTAAACACTATTTTATATTAATTTAAAACTATTTTATTAATTTAAACATTATTTTAATTAATTTAAACACTATTTTCTTTTCATTTAAACACTATTTTATATTAATTTAGCACCACACTATTTTATATTAATTTAAACACTATTTTATATTAATTTGAACACTATTTTATATTATCTTTATGAATTTAAATACTATTTTATTAATTTGAAAACTATTTTATATTAATTTGACCACTTTTATTTATTAATTTTATTAATTTAAATACTATTTTATTAATTTGAAAACTATTTTATATAAATTGAAATACTATTTTATATAAATTGAAATACTATTTTATATAAATTGAAATACTATTTTATATAAATTGAAATACTATTTTATATAAATTGAAATACTATTTTATATAAATTGAAATACTATTTTATATTAATTTAAATACTATTTTATATAAATTGAAATACTATTTTATATTAATTTAAATACTATTTTATATAAATTGAAATACTATTTTATATTAATTTAAATACTATTTTATATACTACTTTATTAAGTTAAACAGTATTTTATATTAATTTTATGAATTGAAATACTATTTTATATTAATTTAACACAACTATAATACTATTTATATTAATTTAAAACTACTTTATTAAGTTATTTATATTAAATTAAAACTACTTTATTAAGTTATTTATATTAATTTAAAACTACTTTATTAAGTTATTTATATTAATTTAAAAATACTTTATTAAGTTATTTATATTAAATTAAAACTACTTTATTAAGTTATTTATATTAAATTAAAAATACTTTATTAAGTTATTTATATTAATTTAAAAATACTTTATTAAGTTAAAGCTACTTTATTAAGTTTATACTATTTATATTAAATTAAAACTACTTTATTAAGTTAATTCTATTTATATTAAATTAAAACTACTTTATTAAGTTAATTCTATTTATATTAAATTAAAACTACTTTATTAAGTTAATTCTATTTATATTAAATTAAAACTACTTTATTAAGTTAATTCTATTTATATTAATTTAAAACTACTTTATTAATTTAAACAATATTTTATTCCATTGAATAATTTTATTCCATTTTTTAAAAAATGACTTATTAATTTAACTTTATTAAGTTAATTCTATTTATATTAAATTAAAACTACTTTATTAAGTTAATTCTATTTATATTAAATTAAAACTACTTTATTAAGTTAATTCTATTTATATTAATTTAAAACTACTTTATTAATTTAAACAATATTTTATTTCATTGAATAATTTTATTCCATTTTTTAAAAAATGACTTATTAATTTAAACAGTGTCTTAAGAACATCAATAAACAATGGAAATACTAAATTAGTAGTTTACCTCTTTTCTATTTTGATAAATAAATATATAAATATATAACCTACCAGACATTGATACACGCAACTTCAAGACAACCCCCAGGATAATATCAGCAACAATCTTGCAAAGCTTTGACGCTGTAGCGGCACAGAGGTCAGCAATAAACTTACAGCAATATACCACAGTTTATATAACGACTTTGACGACCGCATTTTTAAAAAAAAATTGATCTTTTGATCAAATTTAACCTCTAAATATCCACACCTTAGGATGTATGGGTGTGTTTTAGTTGGAACGAAAATGGTAATTTAAAGCTTCAAGGTAAACTCATTAAGTTAAAACTATTTTTTAAATGTTTATCTTATTTTAATCTGCATATAATATATGAATAATCACCTGAAGTTCAGTCACTCAAATAAACTCATATGACCTATTCTGATTTGAACAGTCTCAAAAATAAATGTCTGAGTACGTATGAAATTTAAGCTCCAAAATATAGAGGGATGGTGTATTTACCGTGTCTCAAAATTTCAAAACTGCTAATCGGGACACGTGACCCTTTTAAGATTTTGGGTCAATTTTTCATTGGGTGATCTGATAATTGATTCCTGTTCCTTTAGAAGTCTAAACAGTGAATGACCTATGTGCTGTACTTGATAACGAAAGGTAACTTTCACCTAAACATTATTTTTATAAAATAAAAGTCTGGTTTTATCCAGACACCGCATAATACAGCTTGGGACACCGGTCTCCATTTCCAGATGAAGACTGACAGGTTTAAGTTGTTTGAACAATATCTCATATGTTGAGTTAATTGCTCGGCCCTAAGGTAGAGAATTTTAAGGGATTTTAACAAAAAATTAAGCAGTTTTATTCTCCAAAATCGGGATTGACCCTTTAACCCAGGTCACTGTTCCTTGACGTTTGCTTCTGGCTTTCACTTCCAGTGAATCCAAGAATAGCGGAATTCCAGGTCTATAATACAGTGTTATAAAGTGACGTATCCATAGCAATAATAACCGACAAGATCTATTCACATGAATTCGTCAGTCTAGTATTATTGTCCACCAAGCTTTTATATAAATTGATTCATTTGATTGTAAAAATCTCCAATCTGATTATAACACAGATCCTATTTCGCTTCGTGTTTTTTATAGTTCAAAATTTTGTTTTACTTGTCTTTACTACACTAGGATCTGGAAGAGTTGTTATCATTGACTTGTTTTGGATGATGTTCGGGACTAGCCAATGAAACGGTCTGTTACGGCGAGCTTTAGACGTGTTTTGCACGGAAATCTGGGTAATCTACTAGTAACATCAATGCTGATTGGTTAATCAAATGTCAGATAACATAGGTCAAAAGCCGCTCGTATGACCTCTGACGTGACCTATCCCCACAACCGGTCAGATTTTCATGTAGTGTAGGCCATCGCATATGCGCGTTGTATCATAAGGCCTGTCATTGAGTCAACTGGCGTGGTTTCGATTCCCCAGTTGTACGTGACAAGGAGTAGGGTCCAACCTTGTGGATTTTCTCTCTTTTGGATATGATTTTTTATTCTGATAACTACACCCACAACACGGCAAAATGCATAATTTGTAGAACTGATCTCTGAGTAGGCCTATGGTGTTGACAGAGAAAGTTCATGGATTTTTCAACGTGGTTCCCTCTTGTCAATGGTAAAGGGCGAAAATCCTGGAAAGCAGCAATGCATAGTCCTTTGGATGGGACTAAAAAAACCTGAGGTTCTGTGCATGTAAATAAAACTGTGACAGGTGGAAATCGAAATAAGAGTAGACCATAGTGTGTGCCACTGCCTGAGCAAAATTGCCCCATATAGCACATTACATAGCATTATCCGTCTTCATTAGTCCAGTTGTTTTCAGTACACTAGAACGGTAAACCCCCATTTCATTTCATAAACTGATGAGACATCCTTTATATAAGTTAATTAAATGAAAAACACAGTTTACTTGACAAATGGATATTGATGATATGAAATGTATAAGAAAAAATTATTATTTTGTTTTAATCCCGAACGAATAATGAAATACGAGTTAACTTCACACTGCCAAAGTTTATTTCTTTTGTTTACAGTTATGGTGTGTGGAAACATATCGCTTGTAATAAACTCCATATAACGGAAGATCTCGCATGGATGTAAGTGTTTTTTTTTATTTTTTATAAACAATATTTTTTATTCAGGTTGTCTGAATGGGATTGGGGAACAGGCATAGCCTATGTAAAACCCCTTAATCTTTGTATAGCCCTTTCCGGACAGGTGTTCTCTGCCCGCGGCGCGATTACATCCATTGCATTGTGTGACATAATACTACTTCCGGGGGGCATTTTCTAGAACGATCGATAACAAAGCTCAACATAGACGACAAACAAAGAGAGAATGAGCCAGCAGTGCGGAAAGAATTGGATTTTAGCGAGTTGGGAGGTCCAGTAGTCTTAGATCATAAAAGTCTAAACTATTAATTAGACATAAATTAACTTATCCAGACCATAATCAACTCTCGATGTCATCGCTAACATGCCATTTGTTTATTGGATTAGGATCCGGTTTTCTGTCATCGCTAGCCTGCGATGTTTATTGAATTAGGATCCTGTTTTCTGCTCAACTTTCATTCATGCTTTAATCATGAAATGGATAATCGAGACTATGTTTTTTTATCGTACTGACTTTAGTTATGATGATTGAGGCTAGGCCAAAAATTCAATCGCTAAAATTTTCAGCAAATTCCCTTTACATTATCTAGTTTTTATACGCCCACATGGAAATGTGGTCGTATATTGCCGTCGCCCCCCGTCCGTCGGTCCGTCCGTCCGTCGTCCACAATTTCTTGTGAACACTCTACAGAATACATTTATCATCTGATTGTTTTGAAATTGATATATGTTGTTTGCATTAGTGAGAAGAAGCCTATTTAATTTCACGAACTTCCGTTAATTTTTTCTGGAGTTATGGCCTTTGTTTCACTTTTTTGCACCTTGTGAACACTCTAACGACAAAAGTTATCAACCGATCTATATGAAATTTATATGCATCATTTAAATTAGTAAAACAAAGAAGCCTATTGAATTTCAGCAATTTTTGTTAATTACATCTAGAGTTATGGCCCATGTTTCACTTTGTTGAATCTTGCGAACGCGCTAATGACAACAGTTATCATCCGATCTGTTTGAAATTGATACGCATCATTTAAATTAGTTCAACGAAGAATTCTATTGAATTTCAGCAATTTCCGTTAATTACGCCGTGAGTTATGGCCCTTGTTTCACTTTGTTGTATCTTGTGAATGCTCTAACGACAAAAGTTATTATCCGATCTGTATGAAATTTATATGCATCATTTAAATTAGTAAAACAAAGAAGGCTATTGAATTTCAGCAATTTCCATTTATTACATGTAGAGTTATGGCCCTTGTTTTACTTTGTTGAACCTTGTGAATGTTCGAGCGACAAAGGTTATCATCTGTTCTGTATGAAGTTTTTATGCATTATTTGAATTAGTAAAACGAAAAAGCCTGTTGAATTTCAACAATTTCTGTAGATTACTTCCAGAGTTACGACCCTTGTTTTAGTTTTTAGAACCTTGTGAACCCTCAGACGACAAAAATTATAATGTCATCTGTATGAAATTGTCTATTAAATACCCCTAATTACCTACAAAAGAATAAATATGTGACAACCCTTGTCGACCGCTCGGACGATTTAGCTGCTGTGGGCGTATGTTTTGTTGCCTGGCAACCTATCTTTAACTATTATAGTGAGAACTGCCAGCTCTTTATCTAATCTCCCATAATGTAATCCTTATAAGACATATAGAAATAGATTTCACAAATTAAAAACACTTATATGGATATACTACTTCTGAATTTATTAACATGCTACGTTTCGATACACATACAGATATCGTTTTTGAGCAAATAATGATATTTAACAAAAATGTGGTGCAATATATAGATAACAATTGGAAACCATATAACAGATTAATCATTAATTTAGAATTAACAAGATGAGAGAAGTAATAATATGGATAAACAATTACAAAGGATTAACAAGATAAAAGACTGTAATGTATTGATAACAATTAGAAATTATTTGAATTTAGCAGATCAAACTAATAATTATAAGAGATTAACGGGATGATAGATAGTAATATATAGATGACAATTAAACACTAATTAGCAGATGAAACCATAACTACAAGATTGAAAGGGGGTTAACCGCACAGGCACGAAATCGAAAAGTAGGGGAAGGAAACCATACCCTGATAAAAAACACTTAAATCAAGTTAGCGAATGAGTTGCATATTGTTTCATAAAAAAGAGTCATGATGTAGTAAACATTAAATTCGAGGTTGATAACAGATATCTTGTGGGAAATTTCTCCAGCAAATTTCCACTGACCATATAAGGGTGGGTTTCGTAGCCATTTGGCTCAATTAACCAATCTCTCTAATTATTTACATCATATTTGACCAATTGGATAATTGAAGGTCCAAAACCCCAAGCTACAAAACTATCAGTATCATACTTGTGAGAATTCGTCAGACAGCAGCTTGATTCTATCAGCAGAGTCACTCCAGCAAGTCTGGCTGGCTAGTGTTTGAGAATGACTTTAGTATTGTAATCTATACTATGCTTGTATCCATGTATCCGGCTATGATATATAAAATGTAAAAACAAACTGTTGCATTGTTATTCCTGGAAAGACAAACGTCTTAACTAACTGAGATAGACAAGAAGAAGTAAATACACAACATAAAGGGAAAGCAAAGACGATCACAAGGCTACTAAGATATGTAGTAAGAAAAAATGCATGGGTCATATATAGGATGTTGTGACCAGATTTGATGCCCGCTCTCCACGTCTGACAGAAAGACCCATGGTGCTACAAAAAAGACATCGGCATAAGACAGATCGGTGTGGAGGAGCTCTGAAATTTTCAACTAAAATAAGGCAATAAATGATCAAGTATACAGCTGAAATTTCAGGTTAGGGCTAGCGAATCCATTCAAGGACATAATTAGGAGTTGTTGATATTCTCTTAGATATCCAAAAAAAAACAATGGCTAACTATAGTGAACAATACTCTCGTAAGATAAATATTAGAGTACTAGGCCTGGATTATGGCCCATGATTGTAGCTTGTGGACCCTATAGAGGTCACAGTTTATATCTAATTTTAAAAACGTTTAATTTAACAACTTTTAAAGATTTGGTAAAGGACTGTGCAATTGAACCAAATACATTCAGCGATCATCAACGAATAGTAGGGGGGTTGGATGGCCGAATGTGTGTATGCAGTATCATAAGCTCTGTCATTGAGTCAACTGGCATGGTTTCGAATCCCCAGTTGTACGTGACAAGGAGTAGATATATGATCTGTTGATTCAAAAAGAGGCTCTGGACAATGGATTTTTAATAACAACCTGATATCAGATAAAAAAAATTCTGACTACTATTCAAAATTTTTAAATAATTATATATCAATAATTAATTGGGTTTATTTTTTAACAGTGATCAAAAAATTAAACAGACATGCATTATCAAAATTGAATGGTCAGCTTTAAACTGGACACAAGAAGAAATTGGATGATTTTTGGTGATTTTAAACAATTTTTACTAATTTTTACACAAAGATTTGATATTGAATGAATGTGAAAGAAATTAGTGCTAAACACACAAGATAACCATATTGGTCTAGAAAATACAAAGATACATTATGGGAGATTAGATAAAGAGCTAGTAGTTCCCTCTATACATGTAATAGTTAAAAACTAGATAATGTAAAGGGAATTTGCTGAAAATTTCTGTCAAATTGATCCACCCTGAACCGAGAATTTTAGGCCTAGCCTCGTTCATCAGTACTATAGTCTGTACGATAAAAAAGATAGTTTCGATAATCCATTTTCTTTTTATTTAATCGTCGAATTATAATCCAATAAATATTGTAGGCTAGCGATGCCATCAAGAGTTGATTATGGTCTGGATAAGTTAATTAATGTATTATTATACATTTAGATAACATTTTATGCCTAAAGAAAGACCTGCAATAGGCAGATTTAGCTCTTGCATAATGTATGTTTAATGAACGCTATCAGTAAATGGAAGGATGAATATCATGATAAGAAAGATAAAAGTGGGCTTTGGGATTATGTTAAATTTAAAATTAAAAATAAATTTGATATTGAATGAAGGTGAAAAATTAATGCTATATACAAGAAACCCAGATTACAGTGTAATATAAGAAATGTATGGTCTAGAAAATAAAATTTCATTTGTAAGTTAAAGGGGGGTTGGATGGCTGAATGGTTAGCACGCGTGCGTTGTATCATACGGTTTGTCATTGAGTCAACTGGTGGGGTTTCTATTACCCGGTTGTACGTGACAAGGAGTAGGGTCGCCTGTCCAACCTCGTGGGTTTTCTCCGGTTTCCTCCCACTGCTAAAGACCCCTACGCGCAAGCAAATTATTGAAATAAAATTAAACCATATGTTAGTCCCGAAATGACCTAGTTTGTGTCGAGTGGACGTTAAACCCCATTTCTCTCTCTCTCTTTCTCTGTAAGTTAAACATTCGTGATGAAAAAACATACAAGTAATTTGATTACATTGAAAAGAAACTTGATCAAATTTATGATATAAAAATCAAACGGGCCATCTTAAGATCTAAAGCGGGAGTGGTACGAATAAGATGAAAAAGAAACAAAATTATCCCAAAAGTAAGAGAAACAAATAAGATATCAACGTCATTAAAAGTAATTACTTGCCCAAAGGGAAATACTATTATTCAAATCTTTATTCAGATAATAATAGAATTGTACCAAGAATACTGGTCTCTTATTAAACATACATGATGCAAGAGTTAAATCTGTCTATTGCAGGTCTTTCTTTAGACCTGAGATTTTATAAATTATTAATTAGACATTAATTAACTTATCCAGACCATAATCATCTCTCGATGTCATCACTAGCCTGTGATATTTATTGGATTTGAATCCGATATGCTGCTCAATGCTCATTGATGATTAAATAAAAACTGGATAATTGAGGCTGTGTTTTTTATCGTACCGACTTCAGTAATGATGATCAAGACTAGGCCTAAGATTCATTCGCTAAATTCTCGACTCAAAGTGGATCAATTTGAC